GAACATTGTAGAAAATTATAAAACCTAATGACTTTTACACGATCTGGACGAACTAAATCGCGTTTCAGATTAAAACGCAGAAGGTGTGAACACAATCGTCGAAGGGGTGTAATTAAACGCGAGCGAAGAAAACAAACACCATTTCTTACGAATCTTAAGAAACATCGCATTCCGGAGTGACGTATCGATATCAAAATTATTCTGCGAGGATATACGATTTACCGCGAAGCTTCAACGTTAAAAATTCCACGACGTCCACTCGTTAAGCTTGAAACTTATAGGGGTTATGATTTAAAAAAGGCCGCGACGTCTCGGATATTTCACGAAGGCGCAGCTCTTTCTTTTTCGGTGGTGGAAACGGCCGGTGACACATTTCGACGGTATCACGGGCCCAGCGGAGCGATCGTAATAAAGTTAAGGAAGAGAATTCGTTCGGCCCGGCTTATTTTCTTATCGCCACTTAAGGGCGGAGAGCGATAGGCGTCTGACCTCATGAGCAGGTATATTCGCAGAAGGAGGTGGTTGATTGATGCACTCGGCACACGCGAAACCCCTATCCGCCCGCCTCGCACCGAAACACCCACCGTCCGATCCGGAATGTTCATATTGGGGAGCCACTGATTCGAATTATCGTTGCTTACCGTTTCGGGGTTAAACCGTACTTATCTTGATGAGCGTGTCAACCCGTACCTACAACGCCGCGACGCGCGCCCGCTCATTGATCTCGCCGTTCGCTAATCGAGGAACCGTTTTTCACCTCCGCGAAATGATACGCCGACATTTTTACAGGATGTCCGTCGGGTATCGCAGGAAAGGCTCGATGCTTATGGGGTAGATAGCGGAGTAGAACCGGGCACGAAAATTATCTGAGAGATGCGAGGTGAAATGTAGCGGAATTATATCTCTGGTGCATGTTTCTCTGATAAATAGAATACAATTTCAGTGGTGTATCTTTCTTTGTATAGCGACGCTTTATATTGGTATGCTTCAGCGATAATTTTGTGATAATTTTGAGATTCTATGTCGCGTCGAGTGGGAAATTTACTTGTGATTCACTGGTGCTGATTTGGTAATAGGGGTTTCTAATTTGACGACTCTCTTAATTTACTTTTGGGAAGATCTGTATTTAGGAGTTAGGTATAGAAGACTAGATAATTCTTTTCTCTAGTGGAATTAATGAAAGATTCATCGTTACTAATCTCCTAGCGCGAAAGAACATTTGTAAATATACCATGAAGATTGAATGACGATAAGCAGAAAATTACTTGAAATGAATTTACCTTAGCAATCAATTAGGTGCTCGAATTCAATGATTCCTCGCGTCACGGGTACAACAAAGATGTCGAGCGCAGTATGGAAACGAAAGGCTGATCGTTAGCGGATAGGAAGAGGAGATAATTAATGGGCCGACAACGAGGCGGGTAAATTTGCAAAGCCATTTCAAGTTCCTTCGAGCTCCTTCAACTTTCTTTGGCTTCCGCCCGCCCGTCGTCGCCGCTAACAGTTTACCGGCGCGTCGATTGGATTCTTCGGACCATTTGTTACCGCATCGGTAAACTTTGCACATTTAACCGGCGGGGCTCACCTGGTCGGCGGATCGCGGCGGGGGTTGTTCGTCGAGTGGGTCACGGAACCCGGATTTTATTTCACCCTTTGTATCGATCACGCGGCACGTTTGCCGTCCCCGAAGTCCATTGACTTCGGACCTCAATTTAAATTTAAACTGTACCTCCGACACGTGCAAACAGAAACAAACCGAAGGAAAGGACGACGGAACCGTCGTTCTCCGAATAAATCCGGAAAGGAGATTCCAGTGGAACAAAAGATGCCGAATTCCAACAGACCCAAGGAAACAAAATGGTCCCCGGGACTGGCGGTCGGCCATGCTTCAGCCGAGATTGAAGCAAATTGGCAGAATTGTCGGCGACCACAAGGAGCGATACTGATTACCTCGGCCGCTCGTTAAGCACTGTAACAATACTGGCCCCCACCACGCCGCCCAGGACCATCCCCTCTAGCGTGACTTCCCGGAGGGTGATAGAGCGAGCATCCAATCCCTCGGCGCCCGTTCCCACCACCGACTCCCGGCGTTCCTCTTCTCGCTCCCTCTCCCGTGACGCGACCGTGCGAGGCGTTGATAAGGCGCAACGACGGAAAGAGAAAGAGAAACTGGCTCCCTCTGTGAAACGGACAGCGATAGGCCGAGGTGGAAGGCGAAAGGAGACCGAGTGACAGCGGCGAACGTCGGAATCGGAGACGCGGAAAGAGACGTTCGAAAGAGAGGGTCGAAAGTATCTCGCGAAGGGCGAGAAGGGAGCGGAAAAGACAGGCGGAGGTTGGTAGCGGGAAAATAAAGTGCGAGAGGGAAAAGTGCAAACGGGAGAGAGGCTATCCATTAAGACGAGGAATGCGGGGGAGGAGGGAAGACGTTGAAAAGGGACCGTGGAAAAGAAA